TCACAGTCATGTGACCCAAGGAGAACACCCTTTTCTAGAAAATAGTAAGTATACATGGAGTAGACAAGCACAAAACGCATATTTGTTTTGCAAATGGTTATTAGGTTCAAATTTTATTATCTTGCTTTGGACACCTATAGGTTCCATACACAATTTTGCTTTCACAGAAGATGAAAAATGCATATTTTGGATAAATATGTATCCTGTATTGTCATTTATCTTCGGACCAGTAAGGTAAATCTAATAAAGCAAGACACATGATCACAGGAATTTGGGTTCATTTTCCAAACAGTAAAAAAAACAAGTCAGATGGAGCAAAGAAAGCAATATAGTACCAGCTGAATGCTTTTCTCAATAATAAAATTATTTTCCAAAATACATGTAATGTATTTTACTTTTGCACAGTGGGTAATTTTCATTCAAGAGTTTATTCCTGGGTGAATCTTCTAAAAGCAATTTATATTATAGTTATTACTTTGAAAGATAGGGCAAGAAAATCAATACTGTAAAAATATCTACAGTTTTTCCCTTCTATTATTTGCTTTTATTTTTCTTGGCGGCTTAAGAATGTCTGATGATTGGAGTTTCCTTCAGGTACTAAGGAAAGCAGAATCAAATTGCATTTCAGAGGAGTCTTCCTTCTCAGAGATGGACATTCCACATATGTTCATACCATGAAAGTTTTTCATCCAAGCCAACCATGCATGTTCCTCACATGACCAAAAAAGGCAACCAGCTGTGATGTGCAGTGAGCATGTGTGTGTGTACAGGTATCCCATACACACCATATGGATGTGTAAGTACATTGTTTCCCCCTCCATCTGCCTCAGTGAGACCCATCACTTTGGTCACCCCAGCTCTGTGCAGCAATGGCTCCTATATCCACACTCATTGTTACTGAATTCACCTTTTCTTTTGTTGCACCACCCTGGGGTCTCCAGTCTGAAACACAGAACCAATTCACTTCTTGGAAGGCAATTTTACTCCTGATTCCTTAAGTAATGCAGGAAAGACATAAAACTGCAAAGGGCACCAAACTTGGGAAACATTGCTATTATTGTGCTATTACAAGCATTTTCCTTAAACGTACTTTTTATAACAGCAAAGAATTAAAACTCTGTTCATTATCATGAGTCTTTCTTACCTCAACACTTTCCACTGCTTCAGCTATTCTCTCTTTCAAATCTGCAGAGGAGTCATGGCTGTGGTGCTGGAGGTCTCTCACAACTATGTCAAAGTGATTGCCCTTCAGCTGACCAAGCCTGAGGTGCTGCTGTGCTGGACGGATGTTGTATATTTTCATGCCTTTTTTTTCCATTTTATTTCCAATCTCCTTCAACCTAAATATGTAATTGGGAGAAATTATGAACCATCCTCTACTAAAGCTATACAACTTCTAATTAATGTCCTTTTCACCTTTGCACTCATATTGAAAACACTTTAAAAAATAAAATTGAAAACACTTTAAAAAATAAACACTTAAAAAATCAATTATTACAAAAAAACAATATCAAATTAAGCAATAGAGGTCTTAAAATTTAGTTATAGTTCAGAAGTACTTTTTAAATTACTGGCGTTTTTATGCTGGAAGTAAGCAATTCATGGAACTTTCTCAGAGCACACAGAATTTATTTTTTTTAATTGAAAAAATAGTAATTTTTTTACTCTTACCTCCTCAAAATCTGTTTTTCATTAAAGAGAAAGGAAAAGAAAAGGTAATGTGCTCTAGCAGACTCCAAAACACAATTTCTCTTTCTCCATCAGCCTTAACAAAAACACTTTCAGTGCACTGATTCTCTGGGTGTGCTCACACATGCTTGTAATTGGAAACACAGCTGACAGTTCAAATATTTACCCTTTAAAATATCCACTCAATCTCTTTGTTCTTATGTGCAAATAAAAGTCATTCAAAGCTGTGGAGGGATAGAACGTAAGAGAATAGTGCAGAAGGCAGTCTCACCCCTGAGGAGCTGCAGCTGCACCAATCACCAAAGATCAGGAACAGGCCTGCCCTTAACAGGCCACAGCTGTGTCCTATAAGGATGAGTGCTACAAAAGAGTGGGTTAGCCAGGTGGGGAGAGAGATGGAGCTTGTTGGCTGTGCTGTAAGGAGATGTCCATGAGAAATCACCAAGAAGGTATGGGAACTTTTGTAATAAGATGACAACACAAATCAAAGGAAAATTCCAGTATAAGAGCTTGAATCCTAATCAATGTTTTAATAACATCATAAACTGTTCATTTATAAAAAAATATTTTTCTTGCTGTGTGGATGCATTTACCTATTTTTCTTCATAATTTCAACACTCATGCCAAGTTTTGCTAACTATCTCTTGGACAACTGGCCTTACAGTCCAGTTTGCAGTGGAGTTTTGCCATTGACTTGAGTGCTAAATTGCATTTAGCCACAAAAGATTAAAGCCGTTTCCACTGTGCTCTATATAGGCAAGGGGAAGACACATCAGTAACAACATTTCAAGGGATTCTACCATGTTGATACTTATTAACATCAAAAACTACATGGTAAATTGCTTGCACCCAATTTTAAGTACCTCTCAGGAGTCACCTTCTTCACCACCATAGGCTGCAAAGTGATAGCCTTCTTATCTTTGATGCCAGTGTAACTGAAGTCTGAAGGAAGAACATCAAGCTCAGCTGCCAGCAAGCCGATTGCTTCTAGTGTTTCTAGGTTTTCTTTCTGAAGGGTGAAAGCTGAAACAATCATCTCAGAATTATTAGAAACTTGCCTTCATGTTTCAGTCTTCTGCCATGACAGATGGGCAGATTCTGCCCCTTGAACTGTAACAGCATGGAAACGGTAAAGAAACTGCCCTCCTACCCCACCAATCCAAATCAAATGGGGCTTTTACAGCACAGGAGGAAAAAAAAAATGGTACACAAAACTCAGACCAAAATCCCTGATGCCTTTAAAAACAGTACCTCATAAAATGCAACACAATTCAACAGACATGCATGGATGTATTGCAGGAAACATTCTCTGTATCAGAGAATGCTTTGAAGAATGAGATCATAAGTCAATTTGACCTTATTAACTTGTTCAGTATCTAGATGCACCTCCTAAAAGCCCACAATTATTTTCAAGGGAAAGCTATCACCCTGGGAATGCCACAGAATGAGTGGCTACAATCAAAAGAACTGTAACCATTATCAGCGAGCAGGGACGCCAAATCCCTGCAGTAACTTGATTCCTCCATTTCATTCTCCAAGGATGTAACACCAGTGCACTGATAATGATTTATTTCAACATAAACAGTGACCTGACAGTATAAAAATTATCCCGAGTATCAGTCTTACCTACAGAACACTATAATACCTGCCACCTTCACTAAAAATGTATTTACCTGTATAAACATCTTGCTTCTCCTGAAAGCCACCAGCACACCTTTTTCTGGACCCACTTTTTTCTCGAAATCGTACCACTATTGATGTACCTGGCTGATCACTGACATCTGTCACGGTAAAAGATTTTGTTTCTAAAAGCTTTCCAAATTTTCTATTGATAAAGTGGTGAACTGTTTTTCTGTGCTCTTTGTTTCCATCAGGCTCAAAAGAAAACGTAGAATTTTCTAGCTTTGCATCTAAAAATTTAAAGAAACCACTTGTTTCCTTTTCAGTCACTAATTGACAAAGTTCTTTATAATCAGGATTCCCTTTTACAATCATTTCGTTGTCTTTTGTAAGAGTGACTAGAAAGGGGAATTTCTGCCTAACAGCACTGTGTAAATCAGCCCGAATTTTCTTGCCCAGCCTCGGTCCTAGCGAGAACTCCCTAGCAGCAGCATCCGCGCTGTTTTCCGAGAGCCACGCATCCTTCACATCGCAGGCAAACTTGTGGAGCAGCTTGCTCACGGGCTCGCCGAGCAAGGACTCCAACACTGGGGCTTCCCCGAGGCCGGGCTGCAGCTCGGGCTCTCCCTCACGCCCGGTTTTGCCCGGGAGTGCAGCACAGCCGCCTCCCGCCCGGCCTGGGCCCTGCCCCGCAGCTCTGGGAGCAGAATCCCGGGGGCACCCGGGGGGCTCCGTCCTCCGTCTTTTGGGCTCCCGCGGACACGGGCTGCTCTGTGCCCCTTCGCTGCTCTTCGGGAGCAATTCAGCTCGGGAGTCCCCGAGGAAGAGCTCGGGCACCTCGAGCTCCGTCACTACGAAGTCCCCGGGCGTGTTTTTGATGGTGCCGCGGAAGCCGGTGTGCTCAGTCAGGTAACTGAAGGAGGGCAGCATGGCCGCGGCCTGCCCTGCGCCCCGCCAGGCCGGACAGGAAAATGGGAAAGGGGCGGAAGAGCATCAACTGCTACGGAAAGGCTGCTGAAAGGCGGGGAGGGAGGCAGGCAGGGATGGCTGGACGGACGGACGGACGCAGGGAGGGAGCGGGGCACGGACAGACACAGCGAGGCGGGAGCGCCGCGCCCCCGAAAGCCGCCACCAGGGGGCGCCACGGCCTCCTCTTCCTCCCCCTCCGCCTCCTCCCATCAGAGGGGCCCAAGGACGTTACCAAGCTCCCCAGGGCCGGGGGGAAAGACAATGAGACAGCGAGCCCCCCCTCCTCGGGTCCGGACATGGGTCGGGCCGGGGGCGGAGTCCCTTTCGGCCGCCTATGGGAGCGCCAGGTGGGAGAGCGCTTCCGCTGTGTCCCCACCGCGCCGGTGACGCCAGCGGCACCGGGGGCTGGGCCCCGCCCCCTTAAAGGGGAAGCTGTACAGGCGGAGGGGAAGCGGCGGTACCGGCCGGTGGGCAGCGGGGCCTGGGGGATCGCGGGCGGGCAGCGACGGTGAGGCATGAGGGGACTCCGGGCGGCACTGCCCCGGCTGCAGGGTGCAGGGACGCTCCCTGCCGGGAATGGTGGGCGGGGGCCGGGGCGGGTGCTTCCCGGCGAGCCGCGCGGGTAACGCTGTGTCCCAGCAGGAGCGGAGGATGGGCGAGCCCGTGACGGATTCCACGCGCGTCCGCTGCTTGAGCTACGGGCTCGTGCGGCGGCTGGCGGAGCTCATCGACCCGCAGGAAGGGTGGAAGAAACTTGCGGTGGATATAACCAACCCGTCCGGGGAAAGCAGATACAGCCAAGTGCACATAAGGTCCTACACCAAAGTCCCGTAACCCAAACTCGTGCATCACCACAAGTACCTTGTTAGCCCCGCTTGCCGGCCCCTTACTGTAACTTGCTGCACCTCGTGTGCTGGCGGGCACTTGTGCCTTACACTCCCATTTCCTTAGGGAACGCAAGGTAATTACTTCTACTTGTACTGCAGCTCCGGCTTAAGCAAGCCTCAGAAAATTGACTGAAGAAATTAGGATTAATTAGAACTCCAGACACAGGTACTTTTAGCAATACAGGACGGGCTGCATAACTTTCTGTACGCTAAAGACTAGTAGGCATTGATGTTACGGTGCCCAAGAGACAGCTGCACTGTAACTCCTAACTCACTGCTTCAAGAAAATGGCCAAAAACCTGGGGAGCCCGAGGCCTAAAACTCACAAATTTACTTGAGGAGTAATGCTTGTAATATTTTATGAGCACCTCATTGCTTGAAAGGCTTGTTGAATCTTTGTTGAAGCTGTTTCAAAGACTGAGATTTTTACATGCTGTATATATAATTTTGGGTTTCCAGTCTTATCTAGTAATGGTAGTGTTAAATCTTTGTTTTTCTTTCAGTAATAATATTAAGTCAGAATGCTGGATCTCATTTTCTTCTTAATGCCCATCTCAAAATATTCAAGGTGGAGTGTGAATGCTAAATGGATGCAAAACAATTATTTTTGCCATTTCATCTGGGTCTGACTAGCTCTGTGTCTCTGTCTGACATTCTCTTCTGTGTGAGTCCAAGATGCCAATATATTATGGATCCTAGACAGACAGCTGAAGCCATGTATATGTGTATTTCCCATAGTTTTCCCCATATTTTGTGTGCTTTTACCCCAATTTTAAATGTGTTTAGGTTTTTTTGGCTGTGTATTCAGAAAACTCTGGTTTTTGCAGTGCATTCAGATTTTTATTTAATGTGGATTATTTTTGTCATTTGCCTTTAATCTCTTTCCCTTTATGCTTCTTGAGATAATTCTTTTTTTAAAATACTGATCTTAATATTTATCTTTTAAGGAAATTTGAGGCATTTGTACAAATGGGAAAGAGCCCCACATGTGAATTACTTTATGACTGGGGAACCACAAACTGTACAGTTGCTGATCTTGTGGATCTGCTGATCAGGAATCAGTTCCTAGCACCAGCAAGCCTTTTGCTTCCAGGTAACTGTTACTCTTGTACATTTTCTATTGTGTTCTCAGTTTTCTAAGATGCTAAAGAGCTTCATGCTAACTTGAAAATCAGAAAGGACTAGGTTAAAATAACCCAAAATGAATATATTTTCCACTTTCTATCATTTGTAATAACAGTTTAAGTATGAATTTAAAGTTCCAATAAGAGTGCTGGCGTTTGCACATAGTTGCACAATATAACCTGGTGATACTTATGTTTCTCCTAATTTTGAAAAATATTGGCATTAACATTACTTAGTTTTTCTCTGGTTCCTAATGTAGTTAACACTTTTTCTAAATTCCCTTTTCAGAAGCTGTAAGGATGCCACAGGAAGTTACATTACCTCTTTCTTCACAGGAAACCTTGCCTATACATGAGAAACAGTTACCTGTACAAGAAAAAAAGGTGACATCTGTAAAGCCTGCTTTAGCTCAGAGTACTGAGAAGCAGCATTCAGATTCTTCCTACTCAAGTGAAGAAAAAAGCAGCTCACAGTCCAGTAACACAGGTAGACATTTACTTTGGTAGAATTCAGTGCTGTTTTTTTGCTGATCTGTCCTTCCCCCCTTGTGAAATAAATCATAGCAGTTCATAAGAATGATGACTCTATTCTTGTCATGGTGCATCTGTGAGAAACAGCATCTTGCCAATAAATCACCTGCTTTGAGGGAAAACTTAACTGTTGATTAAATTGCAATTTCTTTTTTTGCCACACATAATCCTGTTGTACTTTTCCAATACTTATTTTATAGACTGTTCAGCATCTCATGCTTTGAAACTAGATTTTGTATGTCAGAAATTACTAAGAATGCTGGAGAAAAGATGACTGAAGAAAAGATTTTCGGAAAGTATGTGGTTGGTCTGTTGTTTCCTAAAGGTTCACTTTTGGGTTGCTGCCAGGAGCATGATGTAACCTTGGTGTATTTTTTGTATATAAGCCACTGTGGCTCTCTCTGTGATCTGCTACACATTTAATTTCTGCTACCTGTATTGCAAGTATGAATCAAAAATGCAATCAGATGTGTGCTACAGTGTTAGTTGTGAAGAAAATGTTGCATAGGTAATTGTATGTGTTTATCTGCCTTCCTTTTGTGTTTCTGGTATCTTCATCACAGAGCTGGAAGCAGGGCTCCGCTGGGTCAGGTTTTGTGCAGTAGCAAGTTTTTGTTTTAAGAGAACTGAAACAGAAAACCTTGTTCCTTAAGTGAAAACACAGTTTTGTGGTAAATGTCAATGTTTTTCAGATTTCCAGAATTTTTTGTTTCATGACTTGGAAAGCATTACAAATAATTTTGATGTGCGACCAGAATCAGCTGGAGGTAATAAACTGGGAGAAGGTGGCTTTGGCATTGTGTTCAAAGGCTACATCAATGGCAAAAACGTGGCTGTGAAGAAGCTCATTGCTGTGAGTTGTCCTGGGGATCTTTCATTTTAATGACTGTGTACTTATCAAATAGACTTGTTTATCTTGTTTATTGTGAAAAGCATTGAATGATAGATTTCCAAAAGTTGTCACTGTCCTACGCATTAGTTGGCTTAAGAAACTTACCCTTAGTCCCATCAGTGTTGCAAGTCAGCACAGTCACAGGAGCTAATTCTTGCCTTCTCTGTAGCTCTCCTTTGAGGGGCTAAGCGAGATGTTGGGAAGAGCAGAGTGTTTCCCCAGTTGTTATTCCCTCACCCTCATGAAGTGCCAGAAGAGAAGGGGTCCTAAGATGGTTTCCATTTCAGATTACAATGGCTGAGATTCACAAGCTAAATTGTCACAGAATTTTAGTCTTCATAACCATTGTTTTGTGTGAATATTGAATTTTTAATTAAGTACTATTGGGGTGTAACTGCAATGAAGGGAATAAGTTGTTGATTGCTGAAACTGGATCCATTTATCCAGTTATACAATGTTCCAAAGAATTTAAAGTGACAATCTGATACTTATTTTTGAACTTAGTAAAAGGTGTATTGTGAAAAGTTAACTAAGAAAGGCATACAATTCTTTTTGTTGTTTATCTTAATGAACAGCTGTGCATTTTATTATGAACCAATGATGTTAATGTCAAATACTTGTTTTTATAGATGGTCGATGTTAGCGTTCAGGACTTAAAACAGCAGTTTGAGCAAGAAATAAACATAATGGCAAAGTGAGTATGTCATTCTACAATTTTTGTCTTTCTGACATAACGATTTGCATGTTATCTGAAAATGTTTCTTGTACACAATCACAGTTTGTTTGTTTTAAAACATCACCACAGAAACCTGGCTTTATGCAGTAGAGGTGAAACAAGTCGTTGGGAATCAAGTTCCCCGTGCCTTGTGTTTTCCTCAATATTGAAAGTCTCTCAGAGCACATGTGAACAGATTTTTTTTTTGTATAGGTGTCAGCATGAAAATTTAGTAGAATTGCTTGGTTTCTCAAGTGATGGTGCTCAGCCATGTCTGGTGTATGAATACATGCCCAACGGTTCATTGCTTGACAGACTTGCTTGTCTGGTAAGTGAATTTTTTTCTAGCTTCCAATTGCCTTACTTTGCTAAAGTACAAGAACCTGTGGAATGTCTTTTAAATGGAACTGAACTGTGATGGCCAAATGATGTTTTACTACTTTCTTATTGTTTTCTAATAACAAGTATTCCAATAAGATTTTACACAAACATTTTAGATAAAGTCAAGTCAGGCTGTCAGTGCAATGTCATGTACTGGTATCTGAAGCATCACAGAAGCTTGCACTGACTGTGCCTGTGTGAGGCAGTGCAGGGTGTGCTGCAGTCTTGTTCCCAGTTCTTATGCTGGTATGTTCTCTGCTGGTCCCTGAGATTCTGTGAAACAGACCTTGATCATTGTTCTTGTGATAGTGGTTATAATACAGTGCTCATAGTCTGCTTATCTCTTTCTGAAGTATGTAAGTAAATGTAAATTTCAGTTAAAAAACCTATTATTTTGTATACATGCTTATGATTTAATCAAATGGTGTATGTTCTAGCCTTGGCCTTATGTAAATAACAAGTTGCTTTGGTTTGGTGAGGCAACTCTGTTTATCAGGGACACACAGTCCAATAGTAAGCCAGACTTAGGGTAGTAGATTAGTGTCTGTGTTAATTTGTTGAAGGAGTTCAAAAAATCTGCTCAATATTAAGCAATTGCAGCTTTCTGAGATTGTAATCTGGTGGACATTTTACATTGATGCTACTTCAACCATTCATGTCCTCAGACCTAAGATCTTGGGCTTGCTTTTTTCTTCTGCACTGATAATCTGGTTGTACTGGTTCAAGCATCTATAAGTTGGAGAAAGATTTGGATTAGGGAACTGATCAGGCTGGTAAAATAATAATTGGTGAAAAAATATTTAGTTTTCATTTGGAGACATTTCCTTTGTAGGGCTGCACAAATACTTCTGCTCCAGTGGGGAAAACATGGTGCTATGATGAGAATGAATGGTAGTGCTTGAGGAAAGAACTAGTTCTGTTAGCAATGCTGCCTCAGTTTACATTTATTTGCTTGCATGTACTGCTACAGGTGCAGTATTTTTTTAGTTGAGTCAGTGCAGAAGAGAGACTGTCTTACCTAAGGACAGTGCAAGTTTATCTGTTAAATGAGCAGCACTTAACAAGGATGTATATGAAAATGGTCATCAGTGTAACTAGCTGTTATCATCAAGGGAGCTTTAAAGATTGGGGAAAATTGAAAGCTAAAGGAGAAATAAATGTCTCTTCCTTTACAAGAGGACAAATTTATGGCATAAATCAATGAATCTAAATCAGAATCTATAAATTAGAAAGAATCTTTTTCTAATAAGATCAGAGAGGTGAGTAACGTATTTACTTGAACATCTGTTCTTGCTGATAATTTAATTTTGTGACTTCACTGGATGTGTTTGATGCACGGACTCTTGCTTGTATCATCTTTGTGTCTGGATGTTGAGCAGGCAAGGGAGGTGGTAGAATGGGGAGATACTGTAATCCACTTCCCTTGGCCACTGACAACATTTTTGATTACTGGTTTTTAACTGTAGATGTCCTTACTTCAGAGGTTTAATTAGTAGCATGAATAAAGCCATACTCTCAAAAAATCCAAAAATCCTGGAAGACTGGCTTCTTGTTGTTAGTAAAAAACAGTGGATTGCTTTGAATTATTTGCTTTGGGTTGAAGGCTCTGGTATCAGTGCCAGTACAAAGTGAGAGCTGCAGTAGATACAGATAGGTCTTTGCAGAGCAGCTGACCTTGGAGAGTCAGGGTCAAGCATTAACCAAGAACATTTTTTTGCAACTGACAACTTAATCTAAGGCAAAATGCAGGAAAAAAAATGTAATGTGACAAAGGCATGCATTTCTGCCCAAATCAATTAAGAAATGTATGCTGGTAGTGTTTTTAATCATCTACTTGAACACAACAAAACATAGCAAGAAGTTGCTTTTGGGTTGTGGGGGTTTTGTATGTTTGTTTTGGTTTATGTGAGTGTATATATATTTTTCAGATTTTTACATGCCTTTCTCTCTTCTTAATAAAGGATGAAACTCCACCAATTCCTTGGAATATGAGGTGTAAAATTGTTCAAGGTACAGCAAATGGCATCAACTTTTTGCATGAAAATAATCACATTCACAGAGATATTAAAAGGTAAAACCTGCAGACTATGCCTGGCTACATTTTCACATTTTCATTTTTCTTTTTCATCTTTCCCCTGTTAAAGTAATTTTAGAGAGAACAAACTGCAAAAAGCATTACTTCAGTCAAGGGTACAATCTTCTGCAAGTGACATCCATCTCCACAATCTTGTCTGTGCCAGAAGGGCATGACTAGTACAGATTTCTAAAGATAATTATGGGGCTAGAAGCATAGAATTGCTTAGGGTGGAGAAGACCTTTAAAATTATCAAGTCCAACTGTTAATCTAGCACTGCCATGTCCACTGCCAAGCCATGTCCCCAGGTGCCTGCATCTAGATGTCATTTAAATATCTCCAGGACTAGTGATTCCACCACTCTCCTGGGCAGCCTCTTTCACTGCTTCACTTGGTGAAGAAATTTTTCCTAACAGCAAATTTACACCTCCTGTGGCACAAATTGAGGCCATTTCCTCTTGTCCTATTGTTTGCTGCTTGGGAAAGGAGACTGACCCTTCCCCCCCACCTGGCTCCAGCCTCCTTTCAGACAGTTATTGCAATAAGGTCTTCCCTGAGGCTCCTTTTCTGCCAGCTCCCTTTGCTGCTGGACAGCTTTCCAACCGTGAGGTTTTGCATTGTAATTGTAATTGTGTTATATTATGTAAATTGTAATTTGTATTTTAAATTGTATCTGTTACTTTCAAATAGTTATTTGAGTGCCATGAGAACACACAAAGTTCTGTTCTTTAACTGGTTCTGGTGAAGCTGCTGTTGAAGAACAATTAATTTTTAAATAGGGAATTTTTCAGATAAAAACACTTTTTTTTGTTTTTGTAGATCACTTCTTCAGTGTGTCTCCTTTGATTTACCCCTATTTTTAATGAATACAGTAAAATTACTTCAGTCAGGTTCATGAAGTTCAGGGTTCTTCAGTGATAATGAATGGTCATTGTTTGTTATACCAGAGTTTTTTCCTATGGACATCAGAACTCGGAATAGGTAGGGGATTTGTTGTAGAGTTTGGCTGGCTTTTTCTGGTATTTTCATTGTTGTTGTTTTGTTGCTGCTACAGTTGACTATGTTGGTTTTCTTAAAAAAGAGGCCCAAGTCTTTGAAGAGAAGCCCCAAATGCCTTCCTCTCTGTGATGGTTAAGAAGGAACGACTGTCTGCGTGTTACAGATGAATGTTTCAGTAGCTTTCTGGCTTCTGGCACCTCTGCTAAATACAGGCAAATTCAGTTTTGTGATCTTTCAGCTTGGAGGAACAAGCATTTGCTTCAGCTATCTCATGTATGTGCTTGCTGCTTTGACAGTCTGTTTCTTCTTTCTTCCCTGCTTAAGCCTCTGGAGAAGTGTAATGACTGCAAGGGATGCACTTCTTTACCTTGCGCTGCCTCTGCCCTTCTAACTGCTGTGAGTTGATCATGTTGGAGAATTGGGTTTGGGGTTTTTTTTGTTTGAATAACATTTTGTAACTTGTGTGAGTAGTTCAATACATTTGACTGGTACTATTAATAGTGCTGCCACTCCCAGATAACATTTAGATGAAGAGACATCTAAGATTACTTCAGTCTTCATTTTGCTGTGATGTGTAGAGCATTCATAAACACACAGGCATTAGAACAGCTCCTCTAGGCTAGAGGGGACAAGATTTAATGGGTATTCTCACAGTTGTTTTTTGGGTTGGTTATGCCCAGGAAATAGTTCTGTTCTCTTTTAAAGCTTGAAAGTTGCAGTAAAATTTGCATTTATTGTGCTTTTTGTGGTGTACCCAAAAAAATGACCACTCTTTGGACTGGATTCAAGTTGATAAGAAAGAAGCTGAGATTTATGAAGTTGTGATCTTGTTCTCTTGGTGGATGATGCCTTTTGTAGTGGTCATTATTTACAGCAGCTCTCACATCAAGTGATCCATTGTAACTTACAGCTGTGTTAATTGTGTTCAGGTTGGGTGAACAGGAAGGGGAAGTTAGCAGTATAACTTTCCAGCAAGTGTTATATCAGGCATTGTGGATTTCTTACAGTCCCATTAAAGGGATCAGAAAATGAGGATTTCATGAATATTAAATCAAGCTATTTTAAAATGGTTTTAAGTGGTACAAGTTTAAAACCCAGTAGATTTCTGCTGTAATTCATCCCACTGAGCATTTTATGAAAGCGTTAAGGACTTTGAGATGAGCCTCATTTGCCAGGGTTGCCTTTTTTTAAGGAAAGTAAAAGCTGGAGGTCAAGTGAAAACATGGCACATAGAATATTCTAGCAGTAATAAGTTTTCTAGTTTTCTTTCAAGACAAGAGTATTATTCATTTAGCACATGAATTTGTCATGGTTGACTTGTTATTAGATAATAGGTATAAAACCCCTGCTTTTGTTAGTTCTGAGCAGAGATTTAGACTGTAAGAATTAAACTGTGATCCAATAGAAGTTGATCAGAGCTAATTATTCTCTATTGTCTCTCCTAAAGCCAAACCATAAATGTAACATAATTGGTCTGTTAAAAGAAAGTTTTGTATTTCTAAGGTTTGGGGGTAGGGGGAGTGTCTAGGTTTTTTTCCTTGTGTTTTGTTGTCCTGCCTTTTATTTTTTTATGCATGCGCACACAAGAAAAACATAGATGGATCTTGCAGTCAGTTCTTCATTTGTTTAGAGGAATGAATTTTGAAATTGAACAATTTCCAGCAAAACGAAATTTACATAACTTGTTTTATGAATAATATATAAATATTTTAGCTTTCAAGATAGTCAAAATAGAAGTTTACATAGCAGGTTATTAAAGAATTATTAGTCTGTCATAAAACCTATTTACTGTAATGTTCAGAAAACTCTCTTGTTTTTTTTTGTTTCTTCCCTTACCTCCCCTCTCCACCAGTGCAAATATCTTATTAACTGATACATACGTACCCAAAATTTCTGACTTTGGCCTTGCAAGAGCATCTGTAACATTCACACAGACAATCATGACTGAAAGAATTGTTGGAACAGCAGCCTATATGGCCCCTGAAGCTCTGCGAGGAGAGATAACCCCTAAATCTGATATCTTCAGTTTTGGAGTAGTAAGTAGAATGTGGGAAGCAGTATACGACTTCTGTTGTAAAAGATAAAAGCACACAAAATCAAGAGTATCTGAAATGAAATGATTACTCTGGTCTACAATTTTTCTTAAGATAGATATTTTCCTAAGATAGTGTTTCTAAACTTTGTGTTAAAATCATTTGAATATGTTGATTTGCTGTGTGAAAGACGAGAGTAAAATAATATTCCAGGTTCTAGCTAAATGTGGTTTGAAGTAGTGTGGAACGTGGCTTTTTCTTGCGTGGTGTTGCACAAAAGTGTAACTCAGGCTGAAAAAGAAAATTTTAAAAAATGTTCCAAAATTATTGTGTTTTACTATATTCAACACCAAAAATACAATGTCCATGTTATATTTGCCTTAGAGCTGAGTACAAAAAGACATGAGCTTAATATTTGGAAGAAAATTTAATTTGTTCTGGATAGATCCAAGACCCTACTCACTATTGACCACTTCCTTCCCAGCATTTTGTTTCATGGGAAGGCAGGCCCAACACTATCTCTGAATAGTTTGGAAATCCTTCAGTCTTGCTGTGAAGGAACATGATTTAGGCTGAGAATAACTTGTGTTGAATTTGTAAGCCACACTGCTATTAACAGTTAATGAAAATAAAGATAAGAACAAAACCAATGAATTGTATAGGAAATCTTTGGACAAACACAAATCCTGAGGGTATTTGTTGACAGCCTGGAGGTCATGCTCTTTTTTGCAAATCATATATATGCTAAGGATTATTCTGTGCTTTATTTTATCTTCTGATTTTTTTTCCTCCTAGGTCTTACTAGAAATAATAACGGGTCTTCCTCCAGTGGATGAAAACAGGGAGCCACAGTTGCTGGTATGTTCTTCATGTTTTCTCTTTCCCTCCCACTGCTCCAGGATCACTTTTATGAAATCATAGTCAGTAAAGAGGTTCTGAGAATCAGTTGTTGGTCAGCAATTTCAGACTGACCCCTGCAGAATATCTGCCTCTACTCATTGCCTCTTATTTATTCATTTATGCTTCCTCAAACAGTACGTGTGATTACAGATAACCCACTTCGAGTGTGTTGGAGCTGAGGACTTTTGGACTAAACCAGTCAGATTTAAAATTTGATTTCTGACTAGAAGTTTCCAGCAGATACTGCAGTCACTGAGACTGGAGACAGAAGATTACTTTACACACAGACATTCATTTATAGGAAGAGGCTTTATAAAAGTGATTTAAAAAATTATACAAGTTTAACCTTGGATATTTGTGTATTATTAGGATACTTAGTTGGTTGTGCCTCTTCTCTTACAAAAGAAACAATACTAGAAAACTGAGCCTTGAAGTGGAAGACAGCTAAATGTGTATGATATGGCTTAAAGAAATTTGCTTTATGATGTTGTGGTAATTAAAATTATATAGAATAAAAATAATAAATTAATAAAAATTTATAGTTTATTTATAGTCTCACATGCTGTTCAGATACTTACAATGTTATCTGCGTGTTGGTTCAAATTCTCTTGTAGTTAAGTATAAAAGATGAAATTGAGGATGAGGAAGCAACTATTGAGGATTATGTTGATGAAAAGATGAGTGACTGGGATGTACCTTCAATTCATAAAATGTATTCAATTGCTGATCGGTGTCTGAATGACAAAAAAACCAGAAGGCCAGACATTAAGATGGTATGTAGTCTTTCAGAAAACAGGCGTATTTTGGGTGAGTGTGTGTGTTTCCCCTGCATATGGTCACACTATCAGTTAATTATATTTCTGTCTGTTCTCTTCCAGGTCCAACAGCAGCTGCAAGAGATAAAAACTTGATAATGTATTTCTTCTGACACACCAGTGTTTCTGTAATGGAGAAACCAGTACCAAACATTTAATCTGTATTTAGTGCAACATTATCAGTGATTCTGCTTTCCAGAACTTTCTGGACACATGTAAGGTGAGCTGTTGGCCTGTCAGCAGCTCTTTCACATTTCCTTGGTCACTGGGCCCTTAACATGGGAAAACTTTCTTGTATTAACAAATTGCAGTGCTGGTACATCATCTTCTCCTGCAACTTTTTAAATGCATTTCCATATTACAATCTATTTGAATCTTTTTATTTCCATGTTTAGTATGTCTGCTGCAAAGAAATATGACTGTAACTGGGCAGAATATTTTTTCTGCAAATTGCTTTCTTGATCAGGTTTACTAGGCCTTTGTCTATTGAAGACAAAACCATTTAATAGCTATAATGGTATTTAATGTTGTCTTTTTGAGAAATGACAATTACCCAATTTAAACAAGCTTCTACTTAACATTTTAGTTTGAGAGTTGATATTAGAGTGAATGGTCTGGTACTGTTAGTGAATGTGATTATTATCAAAAAGTCTTCCTGGTGTTAGTTCTAGTCAAATAAAGGCTGCAAGACATTTTCTAGGTTGTTTTTTTATTTCAAGGATTCCCAAGCAAAATAGTTATCTTGCTGTGCAGATGCATTTACACTTGCAAATGCTTTTTTACAGTGAACTCTATGATGACAAACCATTTAATTTTTATTCACAGGAGGACTCTTAGCTACTTTGACTATTTTAGGAGGATTTAATATTTTTAGTACTTTAGGAGAAGATTCCATATGGATTATAAATACAGATGGTTGCTTTTCTTAAAGGGATCAGAATGATGATGTGAAGACCAGTTCTGCATTTTACTTAGTCAAATAATTAAGCTATTTTTAATATATATATATTTATATTAACTAAATACAAAAATACACTTCTGAAAGTATAAATGGAAAGCTTTTAAAAATAGAAACATTGACAGATCAAAGCAGACTAAAAATGGAATGAAAGTGCCTAGTAAGATTCCAGATACTTTGAACTAAGTATGAGCATATTACCATTGTAAATGAAAGATGTTTCTTTCATATAAACTCATTTTGCACCTCGTGAACTTTGTTAATAGCTTAGGGGTAAGAACATAGTCTGGCCTACAGTTAAATTTGAAATTCTGTGATTATGTGTGATTTCATTCAGGAATATATATTTTGTTGTAGGAAGCATGTGATTTCAATGTGATGATATCATTAGATTTCTGGCTATTTATTCAGTTTGTATTGCCTTTTCAAACTGCTAGCTTAATTTAGAAAAAAGGATCTACCTAATGGCCTCTAGATTTTTTGAGTATAAGTTGTAAAAAACTGTTAACATAGAAAAACCTGCTGCATTATTACTTCTTTCTACTATTAAAACTTTGAGCCTTGAAAATAATCATCATTTTATGTTGCTTGCATTTCTGTTAATAACATTATGGTAACCTCACTGCATGGAAAAAAGCTGTACAGCTCTGAACCTGGAGAAGAAAGCTGCTATAAAGCTAAATTAGAATAAAATCTGCTGAGGCCATTCTTCAGTTTTAAGCATCTCCAGCTGTTATGTGAAGGTCTATTAGATCACACCTGCTTTTTACTGTCCCTGGAGCTGGAATGCAGCCACAGTGTTGTCTGGAAGTGTTTGCTGTAGCAACTCCCTGCTCAGCTCTGTTCGCCTCTGGTAGGGTAGAGCATTTTTGTTCCTACACCAACTGTGATATTCTTCAGTGTGAGGAGAATCTCAGCCACAAGCACGGGAGTTCCTGCTCTGTCATACTTGACCATTACTGTTTGCAGTGCTGCTCACAGCAGTGAGGTTTTGGCAGTAGTTTCCCTTCCTCACTGAAAATGAAGCATGTTAGCTTCTATTTCATACAGTTTAGAAAAAAGTTTGGAACTTCTTTAGTGAATATGAGGGGTTAACTAGGTAAAGCTAGCTAACTTATGTAGCAACTATTTTTTTTTTTAATATTCAGGGGACAAGGAGAAGGAACTTCCCTTTCCCACCCCAGATTTTTTTGAGGTCTCCATACAGTAAAGTCAACATCTCGAAACACTAACAGAGGATAAGAGTAGCTGACTTTAGTTTCTTTTGTTCCTTCCAAAAACATTAAATTATCCTAGCATACTTATTATAGTAACTAAAACAAACAAGGTAATTCAAGATACTTGGGAAGATCTGGTTTCATAGAACTGGAGCTGAGAGAAATCCAGTGGTATAGTATAGTATAGTATAGTATAGTAGTTCATGCTGAGCAAGTAAGAACAGATAGAACTGTTCAATCACCTGACAACTACTTCAGCATTTTAAAAGAACAGAAGAAATTTTTGAAGGGGCATATTACTGAAAGTACAGAAACCTCAGGAGAACACCCTTGGATTCTGCTATGGAGCCCTTGGTGCTGCTCCTATAAAGCAATGATAGAGTAGATGTTTCTAACATAGTGATTTTTCTCTAACAGCAAAAGCTAGGAATTCTGTTTCTGCTCACCTCCTTCTTACACCCCACAGTCACTTTCTAGTCCCATGAGAACTGCCTATTACACATTCTGATCTTAGATCTTCATTAAAGAGACTATGAAATGATTCAAACAACACCAAGCCAAAGCATCAATCTTTATTTATAAAGTAAATTACAAAATAGATAAGGTAAACTTAATTAATTTTAGCATCAGAAGGTGGCTTTCATTGAATACATAAACACACTGATAAACAAATTTTTTCATTTACAATGTCAATCTGAGCAGCAGAGCAATTTTTACCTTGATTAGTTTAACCGTTGATAGGAGTGTTTTAAAAGATCAAGATCTCCCTAAGTTGCAACATAAACATTTATTAAATAATTACCTGTCCTTTTAATTAACTATTTAATAGCTTGTGAGTGAACTGCAAGCAGCTGCATTGCTTTTGGGCTTTATGAAGGCCAACAATCTGAATGGATACTTTCAATTATTTAATGACCAGAGACAGTTAATGGAGCAACTTTGATTAATGCCCACATTTTGCCCTGGTTCTGAACATTCATGAACAGAAGTGGAGGCAACTATGTAGATGTAAACGTGACAGATTTTACAAAAAGAACAGATACTTCTTATTGCTGTTAGGAGAAAGCTACAAGAGGCCTGGAGAAGCAGCCAGCAGTGCAAGACTTCATATAATTCTCTTTTTGGGAAAAGAGAAGCAGACATGCTCAGGATATGACTGATTCCTGTCTGGGCTGGGTGTGTACATCACATAGAATATTTTCACATAGGGAAATTTACAATGTCTGGTTTGGGCTGAACTCTAAAGCAGCTCATCATAAATGCTCTTGCATAACCATTTAACCAGCTCTCATCCTCCTCCAGATTAAGTTTTCCATCTCCTATCCTCGTCTACCTAGGGCAGCATTGCACAAAAATCCAAAAACAAAACCAAAAAGCAACAGTGAAAAAAAACCCAAAACAAACATCCAACAAAACCATCACAACATCCACACAACCATATCAGGTCAAACTGTTCATTATTTAAATAAAATATTTAGTCTTAAAAATATTTCTGACCCAAGAAAGTGTAGAGGTATGGGCACTCTTGCTATGGCTGGCACAAGGGCAGGAATACTAAATTCAAACAACCCTCTAGCAGTAATTTGTCAATGCTACAGTCCTTAAAACCAAAACAATACAAAAATTCCAAAGTGAATTAGGTGTGTTGCAAATATTTGAGTTAACCAAAAAATACATTTAATTACAGTGTACAATGAGCTGCACACACAATAACCATATTTAAAAAACAATGACATTTGCCTGACACATAGTACAGAAGGCAAGAGGCAGGAAAAGAACACAAAAGAAAGCAGGAGATTAGCTGAGGATCAAGAGCTATTGAATTGGACTGATGTAGTGTGTAAAATTAAATGAAAAAAAAGCTGAAGTGTAAAATTTCTGCTGCATATAAAAACCCCATGGTAATACCCACTATTGCAACCTTCACATTATATAGTGCAATCTCAGATGTCAACAGTAAGCTAGTATAGCCAAACTAGATAAAACAATTTTTTTTCAGGAACCACTACTGCCAAAACATTATCCCCTACAAACCTTAAATCCATCTTTCACCAGGTAAACACACCATTCAGCTCTATAATGAGTATATCCAGCAGCTATGATAATATCCAATAAACCAAAGCTGGCAACTCCTGTGTAGCTTTAAAAAAACCAAAACCAACAAAACTCAAAAACCACAAAAGTCACATAAAAGACACTAAAAAGCAAGTCCTCACTGGGAATATAATCTATTCACAAGTATTTGCTTCATCACACAGTTTTAAATATTTAAGGTCATCCAATACTTGACTTCCACATCTAATTCCCCCTTAATGCACTTATTAAAATAATCTACTTTTCCTTTTCCTGTTAAACACATTACTTACAGTTCAATCAAGTTTAGACTATTCTGGCTGATTTAAGTATTTTGAAGAAGGGAAGAAGGGAGGAAAAAATCATCAAAATCCTAACCAGGGGCTTGCTGCCAGCAGTTATTCAAGACCTAGTTGGACTTAAATTACAGATCTAAGTTACACTGAAGTTCAAACATTTAGAAAAAGTAATTTTCAGAATATCTTGAAAGTAAAAATTGCAGTTGATAGTACAAACACAGTAGGACCTCAAGGATAACTCACTGTTATGAAGCAAGACTGCTTCATTTTTACTGAACTTACACATTTTTAGATCCAACTGCACCAATAATTAATTACTTTAGACATATTGCTCTGAAAGTAGCTCCATACTCTATTGAATATACTAACTCATTGACTTTTAATCTCCTTTTACTTGGTCATCATTCAGTACCTAATATGTAACACTTAAGAGTGATACAGAAGTCTGGAAAAGCTATTGTATTTTATGTCAGATTTCATTAAAAGATAATTCATTAAATCAGTTATAAATTTGAGATGACCAAGTCTTTGCTTCGGAAAATGTCCATCTATTCCTGAATGCTTATATTAATTGAATGACAACTGATTTTAGTTTATCTTTTCCATTACAAGGAAAAAAAACCCCAAACAAAACAACAACAAAATCCAGCAATGCATCCTGTCAAAATCCAAAGACAACCTTTTATTTTACTATTGTCCTTAAGTGCTACAAGGAAAAATAAAGTTTTAATTGGGACAACACTAGTCCTTCATCTCTTCTCACATGGAAAGTCTTAGAGGTTTAATAGGCTACGCATAAGAATTCAGCTGTGACTTGCTGACAATAAATGGGCTTCACAGTCTTATGTCTGCAAAGTTTATGATCACATGTACAGCTATTAAATAATGGCTTCTAAATTAAAATAAAGAGGTACTATCTTAGTTTTTTTTCTTCTAGCTTCAAAATAATTATCTCTTCTATATGTCATAAAACATGGTCAACAAATATAATCATGTAACAATATAAAAAGTGTTGAGGTCAGAAAAGAGAAGAGTACAAAGAGCTTTTATTTATCCCTAGCATCTATGAATGGAATGATTTCAGTTCAATACCAAAAGCCAGAATTCCACTTCTTACATTAATACTTAAATACAAACAGTTTCTAATCACTTGGTGTTTCAGTCTCTGCTGGACCTCTGATCAGTCTTCGTATTCCTCTCTTCCCTGCAGGACCTTTTGGTTTAGCAAAACTCTGTTTGTAAGCATGTTGTTTTGGATGTACTTCTTCATAAAGAAAGTCAGCAGTTAACTCATCACCATTATCTATTTCAATCTGGCAGAAAAAAAATCATACTCAAAGTAAAAAACATTTAGAAACTTCGCTGAAACTCAATACTATATTAAAACCATATGTGCAATAATGTTCAAAGTCAAGCATGAGAAGTTCTCCAACTTGTGCCTAATGCCCTGAGAAGTCTTGGATAGTTTTTCTGAAACTCCCCTATACTCTTACCACTATTAAGTGTGACTTTAATTAGTTTCCTGAAATGTAAGCACAACTAAACAGTACATATGCTAAGGACTTCTTTTTTGTCACAAGCTTTGGCAGTGTACCTGTTAACACTAACTAGGAGAACACATTCTGTGTTACTTATTTACTCATTTTAAGCATTTAGACATTTTAAGAATCAAAATTGTTCCCCATAACGTGTTTTAAACACTAACTAATTAAGCAATGTGGATGCATATCGTTATGTCTTGAGAAAGAGGGGGAGGAGTTACAAAGAAGCTTATATTATTGGCTGGCTACTGCCACTCAGCAAAAGTACTCAAGTGTTTAGCAAGAAAAAGCTAAAGTAATGAACAGAATGGAGGGGAGTGTTTTAGTTTTCAAAATCTAGATATATGAAACCAAACAGAAAGAAAATAGTATTCTCAAGCCAAACTTCCCTGTTTTAAATTGCAGGAATTTAGAATTCAGAGAAATGCTATGGCCTTGCTCTGC